CCTGTGGTGAGATGGGCGGCTATAGAAATTGGTTTAATAAATAAATAATATTGGAAGATAACTCCTCCCTCCGTTTGCTTACATACATCGAGCGAGGGGGGAACCAAAGTGCACAGCCTCCGTTTCCCTGCCGGACGGGGCTGGTACCGTACAAGCACAAACCGGAAGACGCCGCCGCCACAGCGAAGTAAACGGCCGCCGTTAGGGGAGGGGGGGCTGCGTTCGCTTTCCGAGGCAGGTGACCTCCACCGATGGTGCAGAGGACCCGCCTTAACGAAGGCCCGTCTCCTCACGCCGTGCCGGGCCTCCTCCACCCCACCGGCGAGACGCTTACCTGACTTGGTACGTCTAAAACAACGGGGCAAATTCGGATCCCTAAGAGCTCAGCAGGTTAGCCCTTGACGCGCATGCGCTCCGAGCGGGCCTCTCTGGAGACTTGGTGGAGGCGGTGCTTATAAAGGCAAGAGTGCGCGCGGATTGGCCGAAGGCCGTGTAAGCGACAGCTCGAAAGGGAGGCTTTTCTTAAAGGGCCAGTGCTCAAGGTGCGGGTCATTCTAAGGTAGTAGGTGGAAGAGGAATATTGATGTACTGTAAAGGAGATTTTGAGGGCAGCCAGCTTGCAGAACATGGGGGAGCAGCTTCACTTAGTACTCCTAAAGGCATAAAATCTCCTTTACATCAGTTCTGCTGCTTTTCCGTCTATTAAATTGCTGTGCTTCCTTCTGTCTGCTTCTCCCTTTGAATCTTAACCAGTTTAAAAGGAAAATACTGTGTGTTATCCTCCCAGAAGGAAGGACACGTTCTTTCCTCATTTCATCTGTACCACAAACTTGAAGAAAGTCTGTTGGGCCAAATAAGTGTGTTTTTACACCACCTCCGATTAAGATCAGTACAGCTACTCTGTGGAACTCATGGCCACAAAGTGGTTGTCAAAGGACATGGAAATTAATCCATGGAACTTAAACTGACATATGGCTAAAAAAAAAGAGTTAAATGTCTACACTGGTGTTTCTCAACCTTGGCCATTTTAAGATGGGTGGACTTCAACTCCCAGAATTCCCCAGCCAGAATTCTGGGAGTTGAAATCCACCCATCTTAAAATGGCCAAGGTTGAGAAACACCGGTCTACACGGTAAGAGTTCCATTTTTAAAAAATTAGAGGAAAGCCTTAGTTGGAAATGAATAACAGGAGTGAGCTGCTGTTGTTATTTTTATACATATATATGAATAGGGCATGCCTAGAGGGCTGCGGTGGTGAAGATCATTTTGTTGGCTTGCAGGAGGGACGGTTCCAAAAGCATCTTGTCTGTCTGAAACAGGACCAAGGGTAGGATGGCCCACAGCCAGGCTAAGAAAAGGCAGAGGAGTCGAAGTGATTCCCGGAGCCGGCGAGACAAGGAGGAGGACAGGAAAAGGAGGAAGAGCAGCAAAGATTCCCGAGAGAGGAAGAGCCGGTCTCCCGCAAGCAGAAAAGAATCTGAAGCCCTGGAGTTCAGGATGGGTTTACCCTCTTCCAAAGAAGGTGAGGGGAAAAAAACAGCTTTTTCCAAAATGGTTGTGTGGCTGTGAATCTGTGGCTCAACAAACACACAGCTTTAACTTCCAAATGAGCAATGTTGGAATTAGGAGCCAGCACAGGCCCCGGGCTGTTTCGGACCTCTCCCCACCCCTCCCATCATGGTCCCCCTGGCAGTTCAGAGTAGGGTTCCGGTTTGCTGACTAAAGGTGATCCTCCTTGGGTTTGAGTTTTTAAGCAAAGCCGGCTTTCGCTTCCTTAAAACTTCCCGGGGGTGCCCCCAGGACTAGGAACTTGAGGATTTTAACAGCATTTCAAACAGAAAGCTCAGTCTCTCAGGTGTGGTGGTGGATGCAATAGGCTAAAAGTCAATTCTCACCATTCACAGGCATGCTTTTAAGGAGTAGGTTGCTACCAAGGATGTGATTTGTAGGGTTGCAGAAAAGCCCAAAACATTTGGATGAGTTAGTCACCCAGCTCACCCTGTTCCCAAGAGCAAGGCATCTTCCCGTGAGCTGTAGTCCCTCTTCCCCCTCCCTCCAGATCTAATATGTGGGATTCTTGGAAGGGGGGGGCACAGCAGTTAAACAAAGCCTGCAACAAACTTAGCCCGGGTCTGGCCAGGACTAGCAAAGAGAATAGCTTCCTTTTCTCCTTGGCGATGATCATTTGTGGTTCTCTTGTGACACGATAATAAATGGACCTTCCCAAAGCTAGTGGGACTGCATCTCCTGGGTTCCCAACCAGGTTGGGGAAGATCGTACTCCGGAGCTCCTGCTAAGCTTCTGTTCAATGTTGGCTTCTAGTGAAAAAGAAGAAAAAAGAGAAGAAGAAGAAGAGGAAAAGGAACACCAGCTCCTCTTCCTCCCGGACCTCCTCCTCCTCCTCATCTTCCGGATCGGCGTCCTCTTCCAGTGCCTCTTCGGAAGAGTCCAGCCACGAAAAGCCCGAACGCGAAAGAAAAAAGCAGAGGAAGAAGAAGGCATCCAGAGGGAAAGATAAGAAGCGGAAGAAGCGAAAAGAGAAGAAAAAGAAGAAGAAGAAGGCCAAGAAGGAGAGAGGGAAGGAGGAGGAAACCCAGAAGGAGGAGCTGCCCGGGCCTTCCTTGGAGCAGTGGCAGAAAGAGGCTGTGCCGGATTCCGGGCCTGGTAAGGCTGGCATTTGTAGCATGGAAACTCAGTTACAGCAACCCTGAAAATAAATCTCCCAAGGGAGATACCTTTGACGAGCAGGGTTGCACGGGCAATTGGCAGGCTGCAGTAAAAAAATAAATAAAATTTGTTTGAGTGCCTTCGAGTCAGCGTTGACGCCTGGCTATGCCTGGACTAGTCTCTGCAGTTTTCTTAGCGTTTTTTTGGGAAGGGGTTTGCCCTGCCTTCTTCTTCCCAGGGTTGAGAGAGAAGGACTGGACCCAGGTCACCCAGCTGGCTTCCTGCCTAAGGCGGGATTAGAACTCCTGATCTTCTGGTTTCTAGCCTGGCACCTTCACCACGCCCCCAAACTGGCTCTCATAGTCAAACGTTAGTGGCTGCTTTTTCTCATGAAAGGGTCTGTTCCTTCTTGAAGTCGGCCAGGGACCGTCTCAAAAGCAACAATCTGACACTGGCCAGTCGCCTTCTCCCTCCTTCCCTCTATCTCACTGAGGCTTGTTCCTGGTGGACAGAAGATTTTTTTTCCATGCAAACTAAAAAAAAACACAAACCCTGGGTACTTTCTCCCCGTGGGGTAGAAGGCAAAGCATCTCCTACAGTTGATGTGGGAGCCGTTGGAGAGTGGGGTAGGATCCCCCGTTTTCCGACTGAGGTTTCTCTTTCAGCCCTTACGGACGAGCAGAAATTCCGCATCCAAGCCATGAAGCCGATGACAAAAGAGGAATGGGACGCACGCCAGAGCGTCATACGGAAAGTCCTTGACCCCGAAACAGGCCGAATGAGGTACAAGCAGTGGGGCTGGATTGAATTGGGGTTTGTTCCCTGTAATAACTTTACCAGACCCAGCATCCATAGAATCCTGCTTTCCCTGTCCATATTTACAAGTTCAGCGGAAAGCCGTCTTTACGGAACACCATTAGACAATTTTACTTTTGAACACTTAGGGGCTGCTGTTAATAATAATCTTCAAGCACATTTAACATGTGGGGGGGGGTTCCCCCTTGCTTTATCTTATTTGCTGTCTCTGCAAGAGATTGCCCATGGCTGATTTGATTTTGCTGCTAGGGTGCTAAGGAGTCTTGTGGCCTAAAATTAGTGATGAATCTAGGGCACATCCTATCTCTAAAAGATACAGATCTGAGACGTTGGCTTCTCCATTAATAGTACCCAAGACAGAGTCTCCATTATTGCAAACAGCATAACTCGGATTGCCAGATATGTGCTAGCAAGCAACAGGAGGTGGTTGCTGTTATGAGAGGATTTCCTCAGTGGGACCCAATTTCCTCCTACGCTGGCCTCCTGCTTTCCTGGAAGCCCTCAAGCAAGATAGCCATAGCTTCGTCCCATTTCTCCTCTTAAAGATCTGAATGCTGTATTGTCCATTTTATCTCCCTGTACCCAGTTTTACCTCCCTTTTCTCTTAACCCAAAACAAAGATTAGTCACCTTTCCTCAGACCCTTTTCTAGCTTTGCTGTCTCCCTTCTGAATTGGCACATGCAGATCCTCGTACAGACTGGCTGCATCAGAGATTTGTATAAGGCTGTTACGATCCCAGCAGTTTTATTTCCAGCCCCTTGGAAATAATCCTCCTGCAGCATCTGTCTTTTTTCACAACTCCTGCACACATGGCCAGTTTCATCTTGATCTTGGATTAAACCCTCAAGGCAATGGTTATATTTCCCTCTTTTTAAGTATCAACTGCTTTCCACATTTTTATGGATATTAACATCTGTTGCTTGGGCAAGTCAATGGTATTTCTCTTGCAGGCTTATTAAGGGCGATGGCGAGGTCCTTGAGGAGATTGTTACAAAAGAAAGGCATAAAGAAATTAACAAGGTTAGTGCCTTTCCGTTATCACAACATCTGATGAGGCTTGGATGCAATTGGCCTGTTGTGGACAGGAGGTGGTTCATCGAATCATAACTAAAAGCGGGCCGGACTTTTATTCCCAAGTCCGTATTTCACAGCCCATATTGTTGAAATATTCTAAGGCAAGGGCACTTGGTTTCTGTCTCCATATCTGGACTCCCTAGAGGCCCTGAGCATTGGTCTCTCATTAGCAAGGTAGGACTTCGTAACGTGTGAGGCGAGACAGAGCTGGTTGACAGACGTCACCTCCATTCTCTTTATTTTCACCAGCACTAGAACCCCAGTAGCCCCAAGGCAGCCAACACACCCTCTGGATTTTGCTCTGTTCAGGGATCCTGGCGGGTTGGGATGGGGGACAGCCAACCGGACTTCCCCTGTTTTTTCTAATGCAAGGCCCCCGACCCCTGTTGCCTCTCCTTTTGCAGCAAGCCACCCGGGGAGACGGCCTTTCCTTCCAGACGAAGATGGGGATGCTGCAGTAACAGGGCGGACTCCTGAGATGGCAGAGGTGGCTTCCTGGCTGTTCGCAAAGGTTTTGCCCAAACAAGGCCTGTCAGAATGCCAGATGAGAAGGCAGGCCCTGCTCTAAGCCACAGTTACCGCATGCTGGGTTTACGCCTGGGGGGGGCCACTCCCCTTTTGCTACAGGGGCTCCTTGATTTCTCAGGGGTCATTTCAGCTGCTGTTCTCAGCTCCCTCTCATTGACTGTAGGGGGTATAGTTCCACCAGGTTCTTCCTGGGAAAAAGAGAGTGGGAAGCAGGTGAAAGACTTAGGGATTCAGGGCTGGTGGTGGTCAGAGCTCCTGACTGCTTTCTCCACGGCAAAGGGCCCCTTCTGAGCAATTCCTTGTGGCTAAAGAGGCTCCCAATCTCCTGATCTCTATTCTGCTATCGGGCAGGGAAGCTGTGCCAAGGAGCAATTAATTCCCTCTTGTCCTCAGAAAATATCAGCATTGCCAGCCATGCAATCCCTCCATCAGAGACCAGGGCACTGCAGTGAGCTTTGGCTCTCATTACGAGGAGGGAGAATGACTCATCCTCTCCCTGATCTCGCCAGGGAACAGAGCGCAGGCCTGTGGCTCTCCTTCAGGTCCGCCTTGTGAGCCCCCCCCCTCCCCTTGAGCAAGGAGGCACAAGAGCTTCAGGGGAGTCTGGCATGAGGCCTCCAGGCCCAGTTCTCCAGCTGCCCCAGCTTCTCTTCCTCCAGGCAAAGGGCTCAGCTTTTTTAAAGGCGTGCTGGCTTTTTGGCCAGGGAGAGTAAAGACCAGGTTTAGGATTTCCAAATGGGCGATTCTGGATTCTAGCTGTGGCAGGGCTGGGAGGATTTTGGCCCTCCCCAGTTGATAGGACTTCAAAGAACATCTGGAAGGTGGCCAGTTGCTCAGCCCTGGCGTGCAATTTGACATTTCACACTCTGCCACTGATAAAGGCAAAGAAATGCGTTTTAGCCTCCTCAGCTTGTAACAGGACGTCTCGCAAACCTACTCTCTGTCTGTGCCATTAGCTTAATTCTGCACTGGTTGCCGCTGGTTTAATTTAATTTAATTTAATTTAATTTAATTTAATTTAAATTTAATTTTTTTCTTTTTTCTTTTTTGCCAGAGAACATTCAGAGCCTTGTCAATAATTCTCGGGCAGCCACTTGGCATATAAACTTCCTTTTTCATTAAGAGGTTTTGGTCACCCTTTCTGATTCCTCCCATTTCCAGTCCTACTTCGGCTGATTTGACAAAGAGGCCTGGTGGAACTGCGGGCTTGCAAACTCTTAGCGTCCTTTGGCAATCAAACATCTACTGAGCTTGCTTTTGTAAACTCCATTCCCATTATAACCAGTTGATTATTAATCCGTTCTTGGAACAAACCACACAGGCTGAATTCACCCCAAAGGGAAATCAAACAGAAGCAAGAGAGAAAATACCGTACTGTATATTTAACATTCTGCAGATCACCCAGTCCTGCAGAGCTAAGTGCATTTAAATCATGGTGATTTCCAAAGGACTCCTAAGGGAAGTTTAATATTCTTTCATTGAAATTTGCAGAACTGAAGACTGTTTTTATTTGGGTGGATTGTACCCTTTGCGTGCAGGTTTTCCTTTTCAAAACTGCAAAGACTAGGCTAAAAGAAGAATCCAAATTGTCCAAGCAATCAATACCACGTTGTTTGTCCAACTGGAAATGCTTATGCAGGATGCTGATATAGCTAATTAAGCTAATTAAAACAGGCTTCTAAATGACCTTGGTTGTTTCATGCCATCCTCTGTTCAATAGGGGAAGGAGAGCTGCTCAGAAGTGGGTTTATTTTCCAGATTTTCTGGCAAGTCTAAGTTCTGGGCAAGAATGGAACATCACTTGATGTTCTCCTGGAAGAAGGAATGGCTTCTTGGATTAAGAAGGGCCTGCCACCATGATCGATAAGATTATTTTATCCATGAAGAGTAAAAGAACGAAGATCAATTTGTTCGCCTTCTTTCCTGCTTCACCCCAATGGTTCGGCAGGGGCTGCAGATACACCCTTCTCTCTCTAGATCAGTGTTTCTCAACCTTGGCAACTTGAAGATGGGTGGACTTCAGCTCCCAGAATTCCCCAGCCAGAATTCCCCCCCGCCAACCCACAGACTTGCTCGGGCGGGGAGTTCTGGGGGTGGTAGTCCCCCCCCCTCTCCGCTGCGAGGGGTTGAA